GACCATTGAACAACATGGGTTGCAGTTCAGCATGGATCCACTTACATGGGGATTTTTGCAATAAATACAGTTGTCCCTACGTATTCATGGATTCCACAACCACAGTCAAATGTGGATGGAAAACAGAGTATTTGAGGCATTCAAAACTCACAAATACGGAGGGCCAACTTCTTATATCAGCAGTTCCACAGGTCTGACTGTGGACTTGGATAGGCATGGCTTTTGGTAACCAAGGGTAGTCCTGGAATCAATCCTCTTGGGATAACAAGGTACCAATCAAAATACTTACACAGCAAGTAGGGTTTATTCCAGGTATTCAAGGCTAGTTCAGCATTAGAAAATCAATCATGTAATACATCATATCAATAGATGAAAGAGAAAAAATCATACAATCACATCAATTGACTCAGAAAAAGGATTTGACAAAATACAACACTATTCAGGATAAAAACCCTCAGCTAACAAAGAATGTAGGGAACTTCCTCAATATAACACCTACCAATAACCTACAATTAACACCATATTTAATGGTAAGAAACTAGACATGTTCTCCCTCAGATGAGGAACAAGGCAACTATGTCCTTGCTCATTAGTCCTATTCAACACTGTAGTTGAAATTCTAGCTAGTGCAATAAAGCAAGAAAAATAAACATAAGTTTATAGATTGGAAAGGAAGAAAGAGGACTGTGTCTATTCACAGGTGACAGGATTATCTGTGGTAAAATTCCAAAATCAACAATAACCAAAAACTCCTGGAACCAATAACTGAGTATAACTAGGTCTCAGAATATAAATTTCATATAGGAAAGGCTGGTAAAGAACAACTGGAACTTGAAAATTTAAAATTTTCAATACTTAGATATAAATCTGATTTTTAAATGTAGATACGATATACAAAAAATACAAAACTTGTGGAAAAAAAGAACATTAATATATGGAGAGAGATTCAGTGTTCAAGTCTTATTATTTTCATTCTCTTCTATTAAAAAAATTTAAAACTTAGGTCTTATTTTACTTACAGTTTAAAACTGAAACCTGAGTTCAAATGCTGACTCTTCCATTTTGGTATCTGTGTGATTTTACTTGAGTTATTCAACTCCTGTTTCCCAATTTTCACATCCTTAAATCGGATAATAGTACCTTGTAGATTTATTTTCTGTATTGAATCAGTTAATATATCAGAAGCACATAACTGCCACCTGACAAATAGCAAATGCTCTATAAATATTGCTGTTACTTTCATTCTCATCATCATAACCATTACAATGGGAAACTATTCAAGAGTTTTAATCAAGGAAGACACTCTCTACTAGGTAGCATATTGTATCTATTTGGAAAGAGGGTAAGACAAAGTATAAACAAAGTATGGTTAGGGCTCACCACTTTTAAATGAATCTGCATCATATAAGTTTTGTGAATCAGAAGTAAAGTCTAAGTTTGGTTGTTACAAGGGCAGTAAAATAAAATGAAGTAAAAAAAAAATTTTACTTTTACAAATGAAAATCCTGAATCATCTGATGAAGAGACTAATGTTTCAGAAACACAGGGGCACAAAAAATAAGACAAATAGGAATGCTTTATTATTTGATATTTCCAGCAAAAGAACTACAACATGGAAGAAAAACAAAATGTCATTCAACTTTCTTACACACATTTTACAATTTAATTTTTTTTATTACCTATGGGAAGGTGGAGACAGAAATCTCCATAATGGTTTCTATTGCTTTCGCCACTGAAGGTTTTAATCCAGCCCTAGTTCTGAAGTTATCATGTGGCCCCTGATGAGGAAAACTAAAAGTCCACTACACATTTTCCCATTTAAAGCATATCACACCCATTGCTGTACATGGACCTTCATGAATCAGAGGGAAGAAAAACATTAGCTGAGAGTTCCAACCATTGAGTATCCACACATCATTCAATTATTAAAAATTAAAAACTCACTGTGTAGGCAATTTTGCTCATGACATTCATTTATAAAGATGAATAAGTAAATGTTACATCCAGCTGACTTAGGAATACAGTTTGAATTTAGCTATCCCTAAAAACTAAATAAATACATTTTCTGTATCAACAATGTTTCAAAATGTGACCAACAGCAATTTGCCTACTGTCTTTTCTTCATGCACAAAATGTACATTGTGGCTGCTCATATGACTGACACTAAGCCAGTTTTAACCATCCAGTTTATTTTTACACCATCCAATTTAAATTATTTTTATGATCCACAGTCCATTAATGAAGGGGTGCATCACAGCCTGTGATGTGATATCTGGCAGTGTAGTAGGTGTCAACAGAATAATCAATTACTCCTGTGGCTAATTCCTGCCATACCCTCTCCACAGAAAGTGGAGATAAAAGGAAGGTGATATTTAATTCACAGCAGAAAGAAAACCCATTTACTAAGATTCGCTGGCATCTCCTTTTCATCCTCTTCGCCTTACCCTCTCCTCTCAACAACCCCCTGAGCCCCCTCAACACACAACACACACACAAAAACCGGAAGTGACAGGATTTGGCAATTATGCTGAATACAGGAGCTAATTTGCTGTTGTTGTTGTTGAGACAGAGTTTCGCTCTTGTTGCCCAGGCTAGAGTGCAATGGCACGATCTCGGCTCATCACAACCTCCACCTCCTGGGTTCAAGCGATTGATTCTCCTGCCTCAGCCTCCTGAATAGCTGGAATTACAAGCATGCACCACCACGCACAGCTAATTTTGTATTTTTAACAGAGATGCGGTTTCTCCACGTTGGTCAGGCAGGTCTTGAACTCCCTACCTCAGGTGATCCGCCCGCCTCAGCCTCCCAAAGTGCTGGAATTACAGGCATGAGCCACCATGCCTGGCCTACAGGAGATAATTTTTAAATGAACTGATCAGTTTGACTGAAGAGGACTGTGATCCACCATGCTTCACTCCTCAGGGAGGAAGGACAGTTTTGACAGATGTAAATGCCACCAATAAGATAAAACAAAACAATGTGGTCCCTTCACCAACTGCTCCATCCTGTTTCCACCTGGACAGTGGAGATGCTGTAGGGTCAGCTAATAAGGCACTTTTTGCTGGTAGAATTGTTCAACAAGTTGCCCGTCTGAAAGGTCAGTGCTAGGTAGCAGTGAGCACTTCCTGCCTTTCTCCTTTAGTAATATTTAAAATTTACTTGGCTCATAGCATGCAAGTAATAACTCTAGTCTTTGTATTTACACAACATCCTTGTAAATAATGAAAATCAGCATGCAATACTCTCAGGTGAACCATGTTTTTAAATAAATGAAAATTGAAAATAGGTTTCATTTCTCACTCAAATGGTTGCTGTAGTCTAGTACCTTATTATATCACCAGCATTATTGGAGCCAGAGGGGTATTATCTAGTGTAAAAATTTCAAGCTCACAATCAAGAAATTTGTGTTCTATTCCTACACCAGGCAGCGAAGATGACAACACTATGGGACATTTATTGAAAGGCACTATTCTAAGTACTTCACATGTATTATTTTGTGCACAAAATCCCTGTGAGCTAATTCATCTTATTATTACATTTTACATAGGAAGTAACCGAGACACAGAGCAGGTAAACAACCGACCCAAAATCAAGCATTACTGAGTAGCGGAACTCAGGATTCAGTTAGAACACTCTGATTCCATTGCTTCCCATACACAGAAGCTGAGGTGACTTTTACAATATATGTGTAGCGTAAGCACCAACCAACCAGAACAGACGCTAGTCTTGGCTCAGGAATAGAGCCCAAGAAGCTCCTTGTGTAAAGGTATTAGCAGTTGCTGAAGTAGGAAGAAGAAATGGCAATCCTGGTGTGGGACCAGAGCAGCAGGAAAAGACAGAGAGACATTTGGCAGGGTCTGCAGCAACAGCCACCTACCAATCTATACAGAAATTTCTCAGTGTTTAAATAAGAAATATAGCCATATTGGTGACACAAAGTGAATATCAACCCTATGATATGTGCACCTCAAATTAATTTACCAACACAGATTCTAATAAAAACCTAGCAACAAATAGAAGTAACAGTCATATTCAGGCAATTCCTTTTAGTTTCACTGCCTGCCTCTTTTTGGCCTCAAGCACCTGGGAACGTGTTCATTTGCAACGTCAAAGTTGCTATCATCTTAAGAAGGTGACTGATCATATGTTAAACACAAGATGGTATGTCAGGATCTGGATTCGTTCTAATACCTTTTTAAAAAAAGTATATAGCTGGAGAATATATTACGTGAACCCTATTTAGAAAATTCCAAGATCTTTTAAAAATATCTGAACTTTGATAAAATCACAAAGGAATAAAAGACACGCTCAGGAATGACTCATAGTAGCACAAAAGATATTTAGCTATATAAGAAAGTTTCATGTTTGAAGAATAGTCACTTCTTTCCACTGATCAATGGAGAAAAATGTGCATTCATTTGCTGAGAGCAGAATATGCCCCCAAACAGCAAAGCAGGTTTTATATAAGTTACTTTTCAAGTTAGCTAAGATTTTGTCAATCATTTGATGAGTTTTAGCTTAGGGATAAATTTGAAGCTGTTATTTTTCTGGTGAGGCCAGCAATAGGAAAATGTATGCTGAGGGAAGGAAAGAAACTGGAAAATTCAGCTAACTTAATAGAAATCTAACATTCGCTATTGCATTGAATAATTACGTTTTTCAGATCCTTTGAAGATGAAAGGTTTTGTATTAAAATTTTTTATTGCCAGGCTATCATGAAAAAACAAATCCCTACAATGTCTGTGCATTTCTTGTTTTAAAATACGCAAGTGATCTGTTGCCTATCTTTATAACAGTGGTTTCTGTTCCAAAGAGCCTTAATCTGGAAAATATATGACATAAACTTAAACAACTGAGAATATTTAAAAATGAGCTATTCAAAAAAAAGAAAAAAAACCACGCTATTGATACTGTTAGACGTTATGATAGTTTGTCCACTTAACAAAGAGAAAGGCAGTGTTGTGTTGTATACAGCTCTGGTAACTTGGACAGATGACTCACTCAGAGCCTTTGTTACACTCCTTATGACTCACACTTAGTAATGCTCACCCAATTACCTTTGCTAGTATATCTTCATCTTGTTAAAGTGTTTGAGAAATGCTTTGGAGATTCTAATAAGTTCAAATGAGCATTAAAAATGAGAGAGAGTAGAAGTATCTCTTGAGAAAGGTGAGTCCTTCCTATAAACTCTGTGTTTTATTATGGACTGGCAAGCAGTACTAGAATCCGGTGTAACACATGATGACCAGATCTATTTTGTATTCAGGGAAGTCAATGAGTTCTCTAAGTGGCACGAAGCTAAGTACACCCACATAGTTTCTGAGTACATCAGTTCTTCAGTGTACATTAAGCCTTTCCAGATTTATCCACAGAGGTTGGCTGTTTGCCAGAATTCAGACTCTGTTCTGTTGTGCAGTGGGCTGAGTATTCCCAGGTGCCAGCGGAGTTTTATGCCTAGTCCTTATTTACAGTTTTTCTTAGGATTGCTTTGAAGTGTGAACAATCAAGTTGCAGCATGCTGTAAAGTTCTTTCCACATGAGCCCTTTATTTCATTTTCTGTTATAGCTCTGAAGCCTTCTCAAAACAGAAGTATTTATCTACAACCATTAAAATGCATTTGGGATGATAAATTCCTTATAAATACTTTGTACATAATTTTATTCTCTTTATGAATAAGACAAAAATATAAACAGCCAATTGTATTCTTTCTCTACTGCTTCTCCTCAAAAGGAGTAGTATTTAGCAAGGCATTTGACTATCAGTTATTAAAATGTATAAAATATTCTGTGGCTTAATACCTACAAGATGGGACTTGCAAACACTTTGTGTATAATCACAATTGTGTATTATTTGGAATTCTTAACAAAGCTTCTAATACTAATATGATAACTAATTTGTAGCACTAAAAAACACCTTTTTGGAAAGGAAGTACCTATCATAGCCTGCATACAAACCATGCCTAACATCCTTTTTCCTAACTACTATCATCTTCAGATATTCCAAACTGAATGCAGATTTGTTTCTAAACTCTATATTCCCTTAAGATCAAAAGTTCTGACTTGAATTGTATGCAAGGAGGCCAAAAAGCAGCCCACCTCCCCAATACTCTTTCCAAACACCACTCAGAGGTGACCAAAGCCTCAGCATCTGTGAACAGTCATTTGGAAAGCCTAGTGGGGTGAAATAGCCCCAGAAAAAAATGGAAACAAGGGGCTCCCCTAGAAGCCAGGTAATGAATAAATTTTTCAAATATATAAAGAACTTGGCATTTCCATTGAAAAGATGCTTTATGCAAGATACATTTTATCTTTTTTAACCCTGGATTTTGTGTTTGTTTGCCAAAAAATCACAGTCTACACTGGGAGAATAGAACTCAAAAATAGAAGTGGTCTAGTAAGTGGTGGAGACCAGTGAGTTGGATAACCACATTAAAGGTTTGCACCTCTGTGTTATGCTCTTCCAATTTGCAGCTCTAACAAACTTTGATTTATGGTGCCAAGAGGGCCCTCTGTGGATGACTTCTGCTCCTTTCAGAACTTTTAATCTTTATCTTTAAATGTCACAATTCTAAATGATTTTTTCGGAGTTAGCCCCAGATAAATGATTCCTGGGAAGACCGCAGCGACGATCCTGAGCCCACTTGCACTTGTGGTTGATGGCACATTAAGCAATAATGCTGATAACGTGCAGCGATCAGTACCTATAGCATTTTCACCTGACCTCAAGATGAGGTTAATGCAGAAGACAAATAGAAGGGAAGCACATGCCCTATTTTTTCATCAGGCTGTTACATAAATAGCAGATAAACATGCCTCTGTTCACACCACATCAGAGCAGAAGAAAATGCTGCTCTGATAACTTCAAGCCATCAACGACTTAAAAATGCTGTTGTCAAATCAATTTTTTACAGCAGACTGACCTGTTTGCAGACCATTTTTAATAGCAGGAGAAGAGTTTAGGACTTGGAGTACACAAGTGATTTCCAAATGACATTTCAGATGTAAAATTTCAGTCTGCCAGCCTTTCCCTCTCTCGCGCCCCATCCACCCCCACATCCATACACATGCACGCACGCCCCATCAACTTCCACTGACATTTCTTCATTACCATGAAAAAGCTCGGGCAGTCTTGGGGGATTTTGCAAAGCATCATTCCTCTTTTATACGTAGACTCTCACTGATACCTCTACAAATGGTTTTCAAAATTTTATGCCCCAACAGGAGGTAGGGTTTGAGTTTTTAAAGTTGTAGAGACAGTGGCTTCTAAGTTTATCCCTTTGACTTCTCTGGCCATTATTACCCACCTAGTGTGTCCTCATCTCAGGAGCTAAAATGCCAAGTGACCTTTTTGGGTGAATGGTCACAAAAATTCATGGGTACATTTAATAAGAAGGAATGAGGGCTCAATAACATGGTGTGAGAAGATTGTCAGGAGTGTGTTCTTTTCTTTTTTTTTTTTTTCTTAACCCAAACACAGCCTCTGTAGATTTTTTTGAATGTTCAAGTTACACCTTCCTCTTCAAATGATAAAAGAATTCAGTGTGAAATTTGCTTTCATAAACTTTTGTGAAAGGTTCTGTCGTTCTCATATAATACTTCAGGAGTATATATAGAGAACACATTCAACTGTTTCCCTTGATGCCTTAATGATCGAATCAGAGGAAAGGGCTGTATGGGTTTCGTTCTTATTTCTTACTCAATTCTCTCCTCTGTACCATATGAACTTGGCATATATGGACATCACCTTCTTCAGTAAAAATAAAAGCATGGAGTTATTTTTATTACAAAATTTAGTACCATGACAGCCAGCAAAGTGTAGCCCACAGAAATCTGCCGTTAGAAAATCAGGAATCCTATAAAATGACACTAACTGGGGAGTTCAAGTGGCAAATAGGGATGGTGTTTTTTCAATTCAACATCCAAATCTATTAGGATGTGGGATAAGCACTTTGCTGAAAATATTTTTACTTACTTTCAAGATATGAGAGGTCATGTCAGAATCATATGACATATTAAGAAAACCCTAGGTTACTCTAAAGCTACCTCCTTTCATATTTTAAGTTCAGCCTAAACATTTCTCTGTATGTAGTGAACTGATACCTAACTGGATATGCAAACCAACTAACCAACTGTTGTGTCAGTCTCTGAATTTTGGCCAACTAAAGGTGACCAACTGTTCAAACCATGTTCAAATAAGGCAAATACTGAGCTGTAACCAATCCACTGTTTGTGTACCTCACTTCCATTTCCTGTGCATCAGTTTCCTATTTCTGTCCGTAAATCTTCAACCATGTGGCTACACTGGAGTCTCTCTGAGCTTACTCTGTCTTAGGAGGCTGTCCAATTTGTGAATCATTCTTTGCTCAATTAAACTCTGTTAAATTTAAGGTTTTTCTTTTAACACCATGTTGTGACAATATCAGCATTTCCATTAAAAGACGTTTTTCCCCTTGTAGGATGTATTAATGTCTAGTAAAAGTTGGAGATATTAAAAAGGTAACACATAGTCTTGAAACTATATTTATTACTGAAAAGTTCTCTTGGCTGTTTTTAAATGATAGTATTTCAACTACACAAAAAGTGTTTTTTGTTTTTGTTTTTGTTTTTTTTGTTTTTTTTTTTTGGCTATTTTATTTTTTATTTCTGGCTTCATATGACTCAAGAACAGCTTCATTTTCAACTGTTAGCCCATGATGTTGGCTGGTGCCTTTAGACAATTTGGGGATAAAAATAAAATGACCAAGTTATTTTGTTTGGAAAAGCAGCTTCTGCACATTTGCTGTATTTTTTTTTCAATAAATATTTCATAACTCTTTTTAAAACATGGCCTTATCCTTTAGCACATATGGGAGGCAGCTAAATCTAAATCAAGTAGATGTTCTAGAGGTCAGATTTCATCACTCAGGACCCAAATCTACTTTTCTGAAGTAGCTCAATACAGAGATCGGCATGACAATCCCCTTAATATCAGAAATTACTAATAGACACTTTACATTTTAAAACATTAAATTATTGTATATCTATAGATCATGCTTCAGGGAAGGGCTGAAATGCCTCTGTTTTGCTGGCTGGGATATGTCTCTCAGTTTCTATTCCACTAAGCCATACTTCCAAATTATTTGATCAGTCCCTCCACCTGGCAGTAAAACACATCTTTCCTGTCTTTCTAGATTGAGCCAATGTAGGAAGACAGGGGGCATGTACAGAAGAATTTTTTTAAAAAGGAAAAAAGTGTGTGTGTGTGTGTGTGTGTGTGTGTGTGCGCGCGCGCGCGTGCATGCGCATGCATATATATAAAAAGAGAGAGATAAAGCACATATAGCAAAATGTTAAATGTTAGTGTTTCCGACCAAAGAGTACACAGTGGTTATTTGCACTATTCTTGCAGTATTTCCGTAAACTTGAAATTATTTCAAAATAAACATTAAAAATATAAAAAAATAAAAATAAAAAAGAATGAGAATCAAAGCTCCAATGATAATAACATATGCTTTCTGAAAACATCAAATAAAAATTGCAACAGCCAGAATTAAACAAAGAAAGAAGGCTTTACTCAATAGTATTTCAGTAGGGGTCAAGAATATTGCAATTGGAGAGACTAAACTCAACTCTATTGAAACAAGATGGGAAGGTTTTTAAGCTTTGAGGCAATGTAGTAGGAAAGTACCTGGGGGAATTGAGAGGAGGTTTGTCAGTGTGATTAGGCCATTTGTGTTTGCTAACTGGCAATTATCACTTAGGAAAGTTAGCTTCCTGCCCTCTTACAGAGAACGGGGGTAGGGACCTTATCTTTCCTGATGATTCCATTTCAAAGGGATGACTCCCAGGTCTTTGAGAAAGATATTTCTGGGTTGTAAAACTGGCAAGAGGCTGAGAGAAGATTTACATCTCAAAGGGACGGAGAAAGAATTTGCAACTACAAGCTTACTAAAGTAAATATTCTAAGAAAAGGGGGCGGTTAGAGGCAGGAAGAAATTTGTCTGAAGTGTAGTCAAGCTGAGGGGAATGTTAAGGCCTTCTTGGCCTTAACAGAAGTCAAATGTATTTGTCTGTTTTGCAAAGATGATAATAAGTTTGTCAAAAGCCATACTAATCTTGAAGGAAGAAAATCAAAGATGCAGTAGCCAATCTTAAAAGATTTTCAAGTTTCTGTCCATTTGTATTACTAT